TTCGCTCTCGCCCCTGCCCCAAGTTTCCCTCCAACTGCCCTAAGTTTCCCCCCACATTTCCCCCCAGTTTCCCACGCACTGGCCTGCAAACAGAGGGCCCTTGCCCTGCGATCTGATCGATGCCTTTGAGTGCTTGTGGTCCGTATCGACCCTCACTAATCGCTTCCTCGTCGCCCCTGCGCCGGCCTGATTGATATTTCCGCGTCAAAACAAAGAACTTCCGTTGGCATCGCTGCCAGGGTGTAGAAGGGTTTCTAAATGAGCCATGAATGGGTTTCCCCGACACGACTCGTGCTTACGCATACCTCTCATACTCATAATATTATTATTACTTCGACACTGTGTGTGTTGGATGGGGGTGGTTGGCTGGAAGAGGGGTGAGGGGAGGGGAGGGGAGAGGAGATCAGGAGGGGGTAGGCCCAGAATGCCCCTGCTGGAATAGAAGAGTGGTGTCATGTAAATGTCATAGGGCCAATGCCGTTGCGAAAATGGGGACGTACAGACGTGTAGCGCCGTGGTAGATGTGCACATTATAAAGCGTAACAGTAGTGGTTCTTCGACACCATGTGTGTGTATGCTAGATAGGTGTACTGCCCAGGTTTGGTTTAGTAATGAGTTTTACCGCTTTTACTGCACTGATATGTTGTATAAGTGCCGAAGACTATACGGACTAGAGGTGTTATTACATGAGAGCAACATGCGACGAATAGAAAGGGGATATAAGAACAAAAGATGTTGGATGGGAAAGAAGGTACCTGATTTTGAGTTGGCGTGAGTTTTACGGCACATTAGAAGATTAGATGTGTTACTAGAGAGCAGCATACAAAGAATAGAAAACGGAGATATCAGAACAACAGATGTTGGGTGGGAAAGAAGGAGCAAACCGCACCAGAGCACTCGCCAACCACCCACCTAGGTACCACCAGAGAGGTACCACACAAGTACAAGTGAAGAACGTGCACACGATTGTTACTAGAATTTCCGGCCTGGGGGTAGATCTGAAGTGTAGGGAGAATTCTTATTTTCGGTAACAGTTTGTTTATGTGGGGTGGAGGGGGGGGGGAA